TGTCCACGTGTTGCTAATTTTGGCCCATCAATAAAACGGGGGACGTGACCTTCCATAAATATTGTTACTGGCAACTTGTTATTCGTAGGGTTATAACCGGCTCGATTATGTGCTAAATGTTACTTTCTCAATAATGTCAAAATCATTGACATTTTCTTAATTTAGAAGCAGAAATTAGTCATTTCGCAAATTCTCCCTTTATTCTATTTCTTTGAACACTTCATTTTGCCTTCTCGCATTGGTTTTCAGCCACTTTCAAGTTGTAAGACTTCTTCGTTTCACCAAAATCTCACTCACACGTTTCACCAAAATATTGTTCATTGCAACTTCAATATCTAAACCCTCATCATTGTTTTTCTAAAATTTTCTGCCATCTAATTCTATTCAAACTTGAACAAAATCAAAACCAAATAAATTGCACTCAATTCTCCCATGGCATTATGAATTTATCTACCATTTTGTTTCGCTCTACCCGTTCCTTGCATCCGATTTTTTTTTTTTTTAATTTGCAACATTTACTAGTTAAAATCCATGTTTGGAAATGCGCTAGACGCTAGTCGGGCAGATGGTCCGGACTTAGCGATTTGTATAAAATTCGGAGATTAATCATCGATTAATCGAAATTTAATTTTGAGCATTTTTGCGGTTTTCGTATACATAACTATAATATTTATTAATTTATACAAGAATTGTCGAAAGTTGCGGTGGTAGACTAGTTATTGGGCTTCGAAAAACGCAACAGGTAAGTTGTTTGAAACTTAAGATGCATTTTGTTTTTGTTTTTACACGTTTATTCATTAATGGCATAACCGTAAAATATTTCATCTTTCTCTTCTAGGTATTTTAGGCTACGGAAAAAATTCCAGAGCCACCGTATCCATGTTTTCTCACAGATCTCATCAATTTTTGGCGTTTTCTTGTTGTTTATATTCAAACTTATAGATTTAATGTATAACACTCGATTTCAAGCTTTCCAACATCAAAAAGGTGAATTATTTAAGTGAATTCGATTTAGTGACCGCATAAGAGGAAATCGCTACGCTCTACCACTGCTAAGCGTTTTTTTCAGATGGTGCGGCCGCGTTTTAGAACCCTGGTTAAAATACATATAGCCATAAACTCTATTTGATAATTTTTCCTAGCCCAATCAGAATATTAAATGAATCTAACACTGCATTTTTACCTTTTGCTTTCTCAAATTTCATATATTAAGTACGATTTATATGAGAACATAAGTATCATTATACTTGCTTTCTGCCCCCAACAATCACAATAGAAACTGAGATTTAGAATAATCGAAATCAAATTAAATTTATCAAAACATCTCATAAAACTACTAAACTGGTTTAATTCTAACTAGAAAATGGCTAATCTACTAAATTTTATATATAAATCACACTTAATAAATGAATCTTAGTAGATTAGCCATTTTTAATGAGAATTAAACTAGTTTAATAATTTTTTGAAATGTTTTGATCATTTTATATTCTGATTTAGGAAACCACATAACATGGAAGAATTCTCATGGCATCTTGATGTTGAAGATCTTTTGATATAATTACAAATCAAAATGATTGAAAAATAACAGACTAACTTTTTAATTACTTTTCA